CCTCATTAATTTCAGTTTCAGTTTTTGACACAACGTGCCCAAAGGTTTTCGTCAAACCACTTTCTCTTTGAGCTGCTTTTAACATTCAAAACCTCAATCAACAAAGCGAGCTCTTCAGCAGTCAGACAGACAAGGCATTGGATTCGCTGCTATGCCGTTACAGTAGCCGTTGACACACAAACACACACACACACACACGTTGAGGTTCTGCTGTTAATTTGTCTGTTTCTTTTGTCGTTATAAAATAAGAAGATAACTAATCACAAATTGGAATAAGACCCCTAAAGTGCTCTTTTCTGCTCGGTTGTTTGGGCTCATCGGTCACACCAAAGTTCCAGTGTTGAAGCGCCGGCGAAAGTCACCTTGAAAGCTGAGGTCATCGAAGTCCTCGCTTTCTCCGTCAACGATCTGTAAGAAATGCAGGTACTGAGACAGCCAGCAATTACACCGCACCCCGAACGCAACGTCAGGACAACAGGCTTGGGGACGCTTTCTTTGTTCTGAGTTGGCGGAGGACGGGCGAGGTGTGGACCGCCACGCACCACCTGGAGCGTGATCGACACTTCTGTTCTACTTTTGACACTTTAATTGCCCCTTTGTGAAAAGCAGTGCTCTCTCCAATTGTGCTCGTAAAAAAGAAGGCCACACAAATACTGTACATTCTGTAGGATTGGTACAGCGTAACACTTGTGTGACTGTTAGTCACTGAATGTCTTTGTACGATTATAATTATACTTGAGTTAAGTGTATTTCATCATGGAAAATTTGTAGTACCAGCAACAATTAAGACAGCCGTAGCTGTATTAGCAGATGTGGTAGTGGTAGAAATATTACCGAAGTAGTAATAATATATCTACCTTTCTAATTGGCTGATGATGGTTTTGCTTGGTAGACATGGGCTCTGTACTCAGGAAGGCCACATAATGGATCAGGGTGCTCATTCTGGAAAGAAAACCACAGAAGAATTAACTTGGAGAGGAGCAGCAGCTCTTTCTACAGCATGATACATATATACATGAATATAACTCACAAGGGATCGGTTACCTGTGGTACAACATGCCGAAGAACTGGATCACCACCAGTAGGGCGAAGGACAGGATGAACATGAAGCCCACGGGGTCGATGAAGATGTACTCTCCCGTATACTCAAGGTCAAAGTTGATTTTTGGCACCCTGATGAAGACGCTCGAGTCTAATAACTGGAGAGTGAAGGTCACCACGAGCCAGAAGGCGTTGATTATGAAGTAAACGAAGGTCATCTGTTCAAATGAGGATGGAAAGAAAAAGGATCAGTTTGTGTTCATCGTCATGTGATTAAGTTCACCAGTCAGAGACATTTTACCTTGTTTCTCAACTCCCTGAGTTTATTAATCATTATTTCCTGTTTCCCTTTGTCCTCGGGAACGGGCTGCAGGTATTTGCTGGTGAGCTCTCTGAAGAACTGCCCCTCCTCCTGCAGACACATTTCAATAAACGATTTACTTCATTGGTTTATCACGCTGGAAAAGTCACATGTCGCACACCCGTCGCACATGGAAACCAACTGTTTTTTTTAAATAAACACGTGATTAAAGGCGTGAGGCTGAAATACTCCTATAAATATAACAATTCCTATGAGCACAAAGCACATTTAAGGGTACATGGAAAAGTATACATACCAGAACTCTTGACTTCCTTTTTTGATTAAAGAAATAGACCTTTTATAATTTTATATTTTTCATTTCCTAAAACTATTACAGAAGAAAACACAATTGGCCTGTTTGCTGTGATGAATTCCACACGATTGGATCAACAACATTCGCCTTCACGCGTAATCTTTAGACGACAATAGAGACACACAAAAATAAAGATTGTGCACCTCGTCCAGTTTGTCCTCGCTAAGATTCATGTCATTGGATAAACTCTGCAGCTGTGCGACCCAGTCTGAAGAAAAGAGCAAGATAACAGAAAATTACACAACGTGAGTGTGTTGAAATAAGCACATTCTTTCTACCTTTTACCATTTGTGTACCTACTTTGGTGAGGGGGGGCTACAGTGGTGCTTCGCCTGAAACAAAATCACAGGCAACAATTAAAAACAGTGTGTTGTGGTCGTTGTGTGAAGATAATAAAATACACACGTTATGGTGTAATCATTACATTACATTACAGGTCATTTAGCAGACGCTTTTATCCAAAGCGACTTACATTACACTTTAAACCCATGGCTTTTTCACATTTTAGCCCGGGGAGCAATTAGGGGTTTAGGTGTCTTGCTCAGGGACACCTCGACATGGAACATGGGGCAGCCTGGAATCGAACCAACAACCTTGTGCTTTCCAGCACACCTTCTCTAACCCCTGCGCCACAACGACCCGACCCAATCATTGGCCGTGTGAATGGATAAAATACTGAAACACACACGTATCCATTGACGAGACAGTCAATCGTTTGGTTACCTCGGCTGCTCCTCAGGCCGCCCCGCCTCCTCCACGATGGTGTTCTGGGGTCGAGGCTCGGGCTCCTCGCTCGGGACGTCCCGGCTGAGGATTCGCTCGTCTGCTGCGTCCGTCAGACACAGTCTCCTGCAGCACTTGGACCGCGAGAAGAACCGCGCGATGGTGCTCCGGACTGCGAACGAGAAGGAAAGTAGTAGTATTATTATAACTCGAGTCACACCTGTTATTTACTACTATTTACTATTTAATACGCAGTAGTTTAATGTTTGGAATATGAGTGCCTGTAATACTTCATCGCCCCCAAAGAGTGCGCATTGCTCCACGGCAGTAACCTGCAGCGCGCCGTACCTTTCTCGGCTTTGGTTTGCGAGGCGGCCTGGTCTCTGGCGGCAGGCGCCGTCTCCCTGGTGCCCCAGGACACGTTGTTCATGTTGACCATGGAGTAGATGGAGAGCAGCAGGTAGGCGCTGGGGATGCAGATGATGTAAATAAAGCCGTAGAACACCAGGCCAATCTCCTGAGGGTGGAGCAATGCAGTGATGACGTAGAAGAGGGCGAGGAAGATGAGGAAGAGACTGCTGGGAGTCAGGATGGTTTGGTCCTTCACCATGGTCCCTGACGGAGGAGGAGGAGATGGAGGAGGACATGAAGTTGCCGCAAACCTTTCTGAGTGAACAGCACCGGTTTGGTGTTGAGTGTGTACCTATTATGGTGATTGCCGATACCATCATGAGGAACGCGTACAGGATGCTCAGGATCGCAGCGACGAGGATCTGAGTGTCTGCCTTGATTCTGAAGCTGGCGCCGAGGAAGATAGCTGGAGGTATCACAGCCAGGACCAGAGAAACGTTCTGGTGAACATCGAGCAGCACAGTCAAACTACCTGGAAGGCCGTCAGGAAGCAAAGAAGAGCTGGTTTAACGGACAGATGATAGATGAGCGCGTGATCTTCTCTCCTAAACTAAAACTCAAAAGTATCTATTCAGATTCTACGCACTTCAAATGAAAATATACATGAAAACAATTAAAAAAGTTAAAAAAACTTATTTTGGTCCAGCTAAGCTTTTTTTTACTGGCTGAAAAATAAGAAAAAAACAGCCTGACCTGCGATCATAAGGATGACGGTGGAAGGTGCCAGAATGGACGCCACCAGGCTGATGAGCTGGTACAGCATGTAGACCTTTGAAATGGACGTGTTCTTCTTGGAGATCACAGTGGCACAGCCCCAGCAGTTCCCACCCATGTTGGCCATTAGTTGGCGGGCCCCCAGCGGCGGCGCTGACAACCGGGCAGAAAAACCAAACATTTAGCCCCAATTTTTCCCTGTTAGGAAATTGGTGACAATAATTCATGCCAGCTTGGTTGTAGCTGAGGTGATAAACCAATTAGATTAAGGATGTGTCATGGATAATTATAATTAAAACTCTGGATCTGGTCCTTGCCAAGAGTGTTGCCAGAAACATTTAAAATACCCGTATTTAGCATTTGATACCAATAACATTACATTACATTACATTACATGTCATTTAGCGGACGCTTTTATCCAAAGCGACGTACAATAAGTGCATTCAACAAGGTGCAACAGGAAGGATTTCAATTTTTTTTTTCTTGCGCAACAAAAACTTCTTCATTCTCTCGACTGGAATTAGAATTTGCATTCACATGTCGGCAACTGGGACTGATCGTTGTTTAACATCCCCGACATGCCTCAACGACACTTTAGGGCTGTGAACCTCAGTGTGCCGGAGGGCCCGCTCGCCCTGCCCAATTTAGATTGGCTGAGAGCCAATCTAAATTGTGCCACGTCGGGTTTTGAGTCCCATGGAATCACCTGGTTGTAAAACTCTTTGAAGTCTTCCGGGGCGTTGGTGTGGGCGTCCGAGGCCGCGTTGTACTCCACCCTCCAACCCTGCTTCAGCAGCAGAGTGCACAGCCAGCGGTCCTCTCCTGCAGAGACCGTCACAGAGTCAAATCTTCCACCGCTTCCCACCACATCCGCTGGGTTTTGTGACTTCCATCCGTAATTGGTGCGAAATGCGGAGGCCAGCCGGGCGCTCCGGAGACGTACCTTGGTCGTACTGGATGTAGTGTTGCGCCTGAGAGGACACGGCGGTGTATTTCTTCATCACGTTGTCGTCCATCAGCGCCTCGGCTCTGAACAGGCTGAAGCAGCCGGGGCTGCAGAACACGCAGCCGAACACGTGCTCGGCCGTCTTGTGAAGCCAGTGTCCGACGGCGTATTCAAACTTCTGGTACCAAACGACGGGCCCTGCCAGAGGAATACACAGCTGGTTACTACATGGTACACACTAAGCGCCCGGCTCAGACGGGTGTTAAAAACATTCCTGAGCAACATTCATCCTTTTAACACAAAATAACAGAACATACACAGTGCATATGTTCTACACGGCCATCATGGAGTCCATCCTCTGCTCCTCTATCACCGTCTGGTACGCTGCAGCCACAGCCAAGGACAAGGGCAGGCTGCAGCGCGTCATCCGCTCTGCAGAGAGGGTGATCGGCTGCAATCTGCCGTCCCTGCAGGACTTGTTCGCTTCCAGGACTCTGAAGCGAGCTAAAAAGATCGCGGCCGACCCCTCCCACCCCGGACAAAAACTGTTTGTGTCTCTTCCATCTGGCAGGAGGCTGAGGTCCATCAGGACTAAGACCTCCCGCCACACCAACAGTTTCTTCCCGTCGGCAGTCGGGCTCATCAACAGAGCCGGTCTCCCACTGCCTGACTCTGACACTCCACCGGTCACTCCCCTTCACACTGCACATGCCACTTTAACTGTAATTCATCACTTTGTCGTCACTCGTCACTTTGTTACTTGTTCGTTAGTGCACTTTATGCTTAATATTTTTTTTAATAGGGTTAGGGTTAGTACTTATTTAGAATTTAAAATTTTTAACTTTATTCCCTTGTTTTATACTAACCCATAGCCTTATTCTACTTACCCATTGCATTAGAATTTCATTTTACTTTATATTATTACTTGTGCACTGCTGTCTTGTCTGTCTACTGTCGCGCACCAACCGCCAAGACAAATTCCTTGTATGTTTGGCATATTTTGGTAATAAATGTTCCTGATTCCTGATATATATAGTTTACTTTTTATTGTATCTATTGTTCTGGTTTTGTTTCCCTTTATATGTTTTGCCATCCATCATCAACCATTAAATCCATCCAGATTCTGGCTTGTTAGTTTAGCTTCTTCTGAACTAAATATACATTTTATTCTTGTCTGTTTTTCTGACTGGTCTGACATGAGTTTGCATTGACTTCATTGATGATCAGTCATCGGTCTCGTTGTGTCCAGCTGTACTCTAATCCCTTACGACCCACCTGAGCCGGTGGGGTGAATCCGGCCGCAGGCCGCCCCGACCTGCGGGTACAGTTTCAGGCGATCGATGAGCAGCATCACGGCGGCCGGCGTGAAGTCTGTGTCCCCATCCAGAGCCAGGATGTAGGTGTTCTTCTTCTCCCTCTGGAGGAACAGACGCAGTTTGCTCCGTCACACATTTCATATACAGATTTGGAAATATATTCATTGTTTTATGGCCGTTTGTTTTCTCTCGTCTTACCTCAAACTCATTTTTCACCTCAACATCCTCCTCCCCTTTCCCCCACCTTTTGAAATACTTGGTTGAAACTTTCCATCCCAGGAGATAGTACAAGTACATGACCTGGAGAATACCACATGCAGTTCAGTAAACTCACTCTGACAGAGCAACCCTGTCACCGAATAATGAACTACTACATGACGGGAGGGGTCTGATCACCTGGGACCATCTCTTCTTGTGGCGGATGAGCTTCTTGTTCTTGTAGTGAACTGTTAAGGTGTTCCCATGTGGCATGGTGACCACCAGACGTCCTCCGTACGGCGTGGTCACGATCGTCTGATCCGGGATCTGCTGCTTCTTTGTGAAGAGGTCGTTATTGATGTTCAAGAAGATGCTGACGACAGAAGAAAACATGGTTCATCTTCACTTCTCGTCAGAATCTCTTTCTTTTTCTTTAAATCAAACTTTTACCTGTAAACTTCTGCGATAATGTTCACAAGCATCTCAGCGTACTGGTTGACGTGGGCCCCCCGGCTACCGGCAACATCTGTGAAGGCGTCGTCGAAGAAGATGTGGCCTTCAAACGTGACATCGCCAGCTTCTCCTTCCTTCTTTGGCCTGTACTTGTCCAGTCTGTGGAGGTAC